TAAACTAATAAAAACATTTTTTTTAATTATTATAAAGTAACGTGACCTAGTCCCTCAAATGGATCCAGACTAATAGGCTTTTGTGACCAATCTTTCAAGAACTTTATTTCAGAATAGGTACTTTTGTTAGTTTAGGAATATGTGCAAATAATAAACTTATTTACAAAATATTCCATAATAAACCGACTGTAGGTATTAATTATAAGTAACAAATCATTTTAACTTATTGTGAATTCAGATATTTGGTGTTTGTTTACCAATATCCTTAGAAACTTAAATAACAAATTTTCCGGGCTTTATAAATTTCTCTTACACACACGATTTGTATTGCTTCAATTTTCAACGCAAGCGTCTGTAAATATTTTGAAATAAACATTATTATTTGATATGACAAAATAGTATGTTAAATTTACTTGTCCAGTCATAATAATATTTATCTCCAACAACATTTGAGATAGAAATAAGGCAATAGCAATTCTCCTAACTTTAGGATTTCATACTGATTATGAATACATATACACAACACAGATAATATCTATTTCTGAGAAGAACCACGTATTGGAAAAACGGCATAAGAAATAATATCCGTGACTTAAATAAACATAATTAAAAGGACATTATTCTATTTGTACAAAAGACTGAGAGAGCAATTATTTACTCTTAAACATTAGCAATACATAAGGAGTATGCTAAGTCATTAGTGAGCAGATGAGCGTTATTACTTCGAAAGACAAAAGTATTTAACATTAGTAACTGACAATTCATTGTTAATGATTTTACAAACGTAAGCACATTATTAACTAAATTTATTTCGCATCAGTACAACACTTTTCCCTGAACCTTGAAAGTAATTACTTATGTATGTACTTCCATCAAGAAAATAATTAAACTGATGCTTCTAGCGTGGCATTTGAAATGCAACATTCACTAGTACTTTAATAAAAAAATTACTTCTTCACGAAACTACAGAAAAACTCTAGTGTTAACTTTTCATGATTGTATAAATACACATACATAATTAAAGATGTGTTTAGATTAACCGAATGAATGCTCACTTTTTCTGTTTTACTGACATCTTTTTGCATTTTTTTGACAATTGTTTTTAAATATATATAATATATATCCCATCGAAATGTAATTAGCATTTTTAATTTCGATACTGCGTATGTACATATCTATTGTAGGTAATATTCTTCTAACAAATATTATAAATTACACTAAAATCTTTGCCATTTTATATTTGTTTATGCCTATGCCCACCTTTGATACTAATAAAAAAATAGTTACTAGTAAATGTTTGTTGATACTGATCAGTGGTAAATTGGTTGCGCATAGTTGTAAACATTTTTTTTGGTATCTCGTTGAAATAACTTAATTGAGTGTTGTATATCCATACATGTAAATATTAATGAAGGTTTTATTATCCTGACTATTATAAATGCGAATGTGTGTCAGGGTTACAGAAAAGGACATAGGGTACCTTTTATCTAGAAAAAATACTGTTCCCAAGGGATAGAAAAATTAGTTTTATGATCTTTGTCACACTGTAGGGATAGATGTGCAAGGGCAAAAGATTAGTATGCTTAGATTTGCAGATGATATAGCAATATTAGCATCTAGCAAGGAGGACCTAGAGATAGCTTTAAATAAAATGGAAGCGGTACTGACAGATCAGTACTGTATGAAAATAAATAAAAGTAAAACTAAAATACTGGTATGCAAGGGAAGAAAAAGTAGGGAAAGAGCGAATATAAAGATAGGAGACGAAAAATTAGAA